ACTCTGGACGGTGCACAATGGTCCTCTGAAGAAAAGAAAAAAGTCCAGATAACGTTTGATAAGCATAACCGGATCTTTTCACGCAGCTAAACGGACTCAAAGTTTTCAGATAAAATCAGACGTAAAATAAAGTTCAGCGCTGATACAAAGACCTTTTGGCGGGCATACAGAAGTATGAATTTTGAAAAGCGCAAAGCAATAAAAAAGATCGTGGAGGTGTAGATTTCAGATGCGAAGGCAAAGTTTTTCTATCATTTGTCTTACTTAGATGGCAGTCGAAACTGTTAAAGAAACTAATCGAGTCAAAGCACATCCTTGTCTTGTTTTCGGTGCACTGCAAAAATATTACACTTCAAGTTTAATCCTCGGCTTGCCGCGTAGCTTTTCTATTGCTAACCCACGATCGTCTTAGGTTGCAACGACGAAAATTCTCTTGACCCTAAGAAAGATTTTCTATGAAAAATAGACAGTCAAAGTAGTAGAAAATTTGTTCAATAAAAGGGGTACAACAGAACTAAATAAGGATTGTAGCAATCGGAAATTTTGAAAGGTGAACGCAAGCAGGGTAAACACGAAGGACTAACACAATTCTAGGCTGTACTGGCATTTGTGACCTATGGTGATCAATAACCACGTGAGAAAAAGATGCCTCAATACAAGATCATAATCACTTTCGAAACCAGTTTCCGAATAAGGTCCTAATTTTTGTCGCAAAAAAACTCAAATGATTTTAAAAACCAGGAAACCAGAATATACTGCTATGAAACCATTCAATGCTTATCAGGATAAATTTGGATTGTAACCCAAATATCAAATTCAGATAATTATTGACAGACCAGCTTCTCGAAAACGCTTTTGTACCTAGTTGCTCGTACTTTCAAAATGGAATCAAAATAAGACAGGAAACGCTATTTCGCCTAACTAGATGTTTAAGGGGAAAACATAGACTCGTCAATGGAAAAGAAGTGAGCGAATTAGGATGGCATGATTCATTTTGTCTAAAAAGTGCAATTTTCTTATCTAAGAATTCCAGTTTTGATGCCATTATAAAAACATCAAAAAAAGCGTCACTTTTCGGCTCCAGTGACGCTTCTTTTTTGTAGCCTCGACATTTCGGGCAGGAGCTAGCAGGAGCGAACTGACAGTTTTACCGTGTTATCGTGGGCTGTTGCTAGGCAGCTCCTCTGAGATGTAATGGTAGTTGACTCCTAGTTCTCAGTAATATTAGCACATGATCGGTTTGTAATCATAGAACACTAGGCGGCCGAAGCGGATGATTGTTCCACTGACCAAAGCAGAAACTTGAAAAAGATTGACTATCGCGTACGAGCACTCTTCTCTGAAGTCCAAGTCGCTGCATGATCTATCGCCATTCTTTTTGATTGACAAAACAATGTAAGACTTAAGCATGTCCCGAGAATCACATGGTAGGTAGTGCTCTCAAACAGAAAATCAGTCTTACAATAAAAGTTGCTATTGCTGCCCGTGTGCTTGGTGTTATGAAAGATAGAAAAGTAAGTTCAATTAAAAGAAGCAGCAAAAATAGGAAAACCAATTTAACCAAATTGTGCGAAAACATAATCTCATTTCGCTTATGGTAAGAAAATCCAACGTTTGTTAATGGTAAGAAAAATTTCAAACACTTTTTAAACAAAAAAAATATAGACAAGAACTCAGCAGAGTTGTAGTTTTAACAAATATAGGCATTACGAGGCCAAACTGTGCACTGTATAGGCGCACAATTTTGTGTCTGTGTGTTCCTGGTCCTGGATTCAAGATACAAGGCTTTAATATTTTACAAAATGTAAGTGGATTCCACTTACAAAACTTTAGTGGATTCCGCGTAAAAATATCTAAAATGTAATCTTTATCGACACAATGATTTTGTTGCGGATTCCACAACTAGCGAATTTAGGCAATCTTCCGGATTCCAAAAATGTAAGCGGATTTCGAAAATGTCAGTGGATTCCGCAAATTTATGCGGATTCCGATTACAATTTGGAAATTCCGCTTACAATTTGCGGAATTCGCTTCTAAATTGTGGATTTCGCTTACAATTTGAGGATTCTACTTACAGTTGCGGGTTTCTCGACAGCTTAAGCTAATATATTATGATTTGTTCATGGATTCCACAAATTGGTTCCGGTTTCCAATTTTTTTAAAGATAAAAATATTAACAATAAAAATAAAAATTATGTACTATTTCGCAGTTGAAGTACGATAAACGAGCTGTTTGTGTACCTCATACACATTATCAATAGAAAAATTGTGTAAATCTTAAGTTCTCATTTGGTTTCCCACAAAAAAGTAGGGTTATTTTCGGTCATACCTCTCCCCTCCCCCCTCCTAAATGATAAAATTATAAGAATGTACTTTTTTTGCCTGGTTTTGTTTGCCTGATTCTCCTTTAGAATGCTGGGCTAATATCCCGAGCGTTAAATCACGCTAGAAACTGGAAAAAAATGCAAACTTAACGACCATTAAAAATGCACTTAGCATCCTTTTAATGAAATTTGTAACCGAAAAGACCCAAACGTAGAAAAGACAATGACAGAAAATCATTCGTTTTATGAAAAATATATGTTAAAACATTGGGAAACCGTGTAAGTTTGTGAAATGAAAAATGATCAAATTTTGGTTAGAAAAGTTAACATTCAGCTGATTTTCAACCACTTAATGTAGTTTTGATACCATTGTTCAAATTAATTCTAAATGTCATTATTAATGGCGTGAAAATATATAAGCTAAACAAAGTCCCATGCTAAGTACAATTTGTTTCAAAAAACTAAAAGTATCGAATGAATTTTTAGTCTGTTAACCATTTTTAGTTATGGAAGCATGTGCAGTCAATTAAAACTCGTAGCCAATTTAATGTGATCTAATGCAAAAAGAGATGTAACTGAAATCTGAATGGAAGTTTTTCTCGGAGGTAATTTTAACCTGAAACAATTTTCTTTGCCGTGGTTGAAGGAGTGAAGTTAACAAAATTAACCCCAGACTATTATAACCAATAAAACTTTTTTTGAAAAAGACTAAAACATTTCGAAGCCAAATTAAGTTTGCTCGGCAAATCCTTCAAAATCTCGGACGACGAGTTGTCTAATTTTAGTTGTTTTACAATCGCCTAACTTGCTTGCCCGGGATGACCAAAATTACTAGTCATACAATTTCCATATATGGAAAAATGCTAGTCATACACTTTCCATGCAATTCCATACGTACAGAAAATTGCATGAAAGGTCTATGATTAGTATTTTTTTCATATATGGAAATTGTATGACTAACAATTTTTTATATATGGAAAGTGTGTGACTAGCATTTTTTCATATATGGAAATTGAAAATTTAGAAACTTTTCATATATGAAAATTTTGTGACAAGCATTTTTTAACAATTAGAAATCCAGCAAAATGAGGCAAAAAAAAATACTTTAATTTCCATCCCATACGACGAGCACTCTCTGAACAGAGAAGAAAAAACCAGAGAAAATTGATTTCTCATAGTCAATTCTCCTCACACACTGAGAAAGCAGAGCATTTCTTAATCTTATCTTAGAGGGACTCCAAAATTGATGTGCTGATTTACCTATCTACGATCTGGAGTTTTTGATTCTTTTTTTTTTTCAAATTATATATGGAAGTTATATATGGAAATTGTATGACTAGTGTTTTTTTTTAAAAAACAAAAATAAAAAAAGTCAAAGTTTTCATTTGTAGCAGCCCAAAAAACGCTTAAATGTTTTGCCAGCAGTCGAATTGATTGTTCAAAGCGTTTTTTTCACAAAAAAATTTTTTTAACAAAAAAAGCTAATCATACAATTTCCATATATGGAAATTGTATGATTAGCGTTTTTTTCATACCATTTTTTTCCTTTTTTTTTATGAAGAGATACCAGTTTGATAACAAAACAACAATAAAATACCTTTGAAAATCGATTAAACTCATTTTGCAAAAATGTATGAAAATTCTATGACTAGCATTTTTCCATAGACTAAGTGTAAGAAATTGCATTATTAGCATTTTCGGTCTATGGAGGTCAACCCGGGTGTTGTCTATTTTCTTAGTCCCCCTATCTCACGTTTACTTGTGGTTCGTGTTTTTGCCAGAAAAAAAACACCAATTCTTGAGTTCCTCTTCACGTTGCGAAACTTTAGAGATGGTATTGCAAAAATATTATGTTGCACATGCTCTTTGATATTCTATATTCAAGTAAATAGATGTTAAATTTTACACTATAGCTGACATAAAAGATACAAATTAGTATTTTTCAAGACATTTTCAAGATCAAATTCTTATGAGAAAAAGCTTTCCGTAGTTGTTTATTAACATTTCAATTTGGAATTCAAAGAAAGCGTTTTGAAGATCATAACTTTTGGTTCTTGATTAACTTGAGGTAATAAAAATATAGAGTTTACATCCATTTATGGAAATAAAAACATTTCATAGAATCAGTCACCATATTTCTGCATGAAAAGATTCATAAAAGTGTACTATGTGCAATCAGTTTAATAAATCACCTCCATTAAATCAGTTCAAGATCTTTCTTCTCTCTAGGCCTCGAATACTTTTGCGCGTATTTTTGCTGCGGCGTTCACCAAAAAAAATTAATCTGACGACTTGACACACCATTTCAAACATTTTTATTCGGCATCTTTCATATTTGGCAGATGATTTCATATTTGGAGATAAAAGTATTCTCTAAAGACTTGTTAGGCGCCAAAACGTACAAATTTTGAATTGAAATGTTTTTTTTTGGTTTCACGTTTTAATTCCATTTTAATTCACATTTTAATTCCAACGATTAACGGGCACGTTTTGCTTCTCAAATTAAATATTAAGCGAAATTGAAAGATAACAAAGGCGGATTTAGGAATAGGGTACCCATAAATCGCATCAATTTTCGGCCGACTAACCATAAACTTTTTCTAAATGTGCAGTTGGCGCTTAAAATCCCCCCCCCCCCTCCCCTCTCCGGAAAAAGTCCTAGATCAGCCCCTGAAATGTTTTTGTTTCACTGTTCTAGCTATAAACACAAGAAAAAGACAAGAGTTTAGTTTCTTCACTTAATTGTTTTGTATTTTTTCAGTGTCCATTTTCACCCGGTTTCGGATGATGAGTCATGCATGAGAGGGGGAGGCATTTCAGGTAATTGGGCGTGAACAAAAAGGTAGGCGAGCAGGGGGTTATTTCAGACTCTTCTTGATCTCGCCACTCCACACCAGTCGTGCATCGTCACCCCCTCTCCCCTTGATGAAGGAAGCATCCGGGGTGGGTGAGGGGGTCATATTGGCTTCCGCCACCTTCACCTGAATCAGACCACGAGATCACTCAAGAAATTCAATTTGTAATTCTATAATAAAATATTTTTTTTTCGAGTTGCGATCGATTCTTTTTTGATACAAAAAATAAAATGCTTGCGTTCTCATAGTTTTGAAGACTTTTTCATCCATGATAGCAAATAAACTCAAAAAATTATTCATGGTCATCGTGTTTGAATTTGGACAGGCTTTTTTAGAATTTAACTTTTATTTTTGCAATTCTGAGAGTCCACTTATGATTCGTAGGGTCCCTTTAAAACCCCCCCCCCCCCCGCCTGTAAACTTTTTTACAATTAATTTTTGTTCATATTATTCAATTGATACAAAAATGGGTATGGTTACTAATTAGGCAATGGAGAACAAGTTTGATATTCATACATGATCTTGTAAATTTTCTGGTTACACCATAAAATTGATGTTTACATGAGGTTGGGGGGGGGGGGCAGAGGAAAAAGAGCCGATTGGCTTTAGTTTGTATGTACCTGGGTTGGTGCGGTCTGTCTTCTCTGGTTCTTGGCCCTGTTCACAAAAGCGACACACCTCTCCACCCCCAGAAGCACAGTGCACATGAGGGTGGCGAGCGACCAGTAGGACCCATTGTGGAACTTGTCTATCTTCGTCACCTGTCCCTCCCTCCAGCTGAAGGTGATCTGGGTGAAGCCTTCTTGGTCGTGTGACGCCTGCGACACCTACATCACACAAATCACACATCACACGTACAGACACCCAATTACATTTCTTACCTTCAATTGTCTAAAACCATTGCATTGACCTTCATATAATCCTCCTTCTCCTAAAACTGAACGAAAAGTTTGGCAGAAATTCACTATGCACAGGAGCGGATTTAGGGGGGGGGGATGGGGCGGTTCGATTGGTTATGGACTAAGTATCCGAGTCAATCAGTTGAACAATTAAACAAGTCAAAGAAAAACAATAAGTTTAACATGAAAGATGGAGTCATGCTAACAATGGTCTTTATGTAGCTCTTTTCCAGTTCGTGTTTGTTGTAGTGGTCTTCCCTGGATAGCAACACCTGGTTGATGGTGTTGGAATTGATCCAGGGGGAGGGACTGTTGAAGATGCTCTCGTCCAGATGGTCGGATACATTCTCACTTCATAAAACAGAATAAATTAATCACCGTTCTGCTAAATTTCTGATTCATAATGCTGCCCCACCCAGAAATGCGCATTCAACTAAAAAGGTTTACAGCAATGATCTGAGATTGGCTGTTTTAATCCAAAATATCCCAGTCTGGAATGCGGGGAAATAAGAAAAGCTGACTATGCATAGACGGGTTGGTTAGCCTTTCAGAGAAGCGAGCTAACTATTGAGTTATGATCGATGGGTATAACTCATAGAGTAATTTCGGATAGGGTACACCGTCTGCTCGTCACGCTATCTTATTTTCGGCCGGATAGATTCGTGCAACTTCTTAGTCTAATACCGATCCTAATCTTACTCTTATACTATCTAGTCTCAGGTTGTTTAACTAGTCTCTGCTAGGCTCAATAGATCTAGGGTATACTGGTTTATTGCGGCTGCTGAAGTACTCGGGAGAGTTCAACTAATTTCTAAGTTAAATTCAAATCTCTCTGGTGCTGAAATTACAAGTAATTTCAGCACTTACAAATAAGTGGATTGTTAGTTAGATGGATCATGATTGGTTAATATTAAATACTTTACATTGGTAAAATATCTAATTTATCCAATCATAAAATGTAGTTTAGATCAGGTTCCACCCATCCGGGTTTTACAGAGTTTTTTAGAATAGTTTTTCTGCAATTCGAAAGATGGATGATGGACGTTGGTATTTGGCGAACATCTTATTTCTTCTGGGTTTTCTTATTAGAGAAGTCCCAGATTCAATCATTGTGTCTTCTCAAGACAACGACTGGGTTTTCGCAACAAACTCAAATCTGATTTCAGAATGGTTGGCTATGTCAGGTTTTTCTGTTTCATTGGTGAGAACTTCTTTGTGTTTGACCTTGTCTGGGAATGGCGTGGAGATTGTGCGTGGAGGGGATGCCTGGTTACTCGGATCTGTACGTATACTTGAACATCGAGGTGGTCATTGGTCTAGTTCAATGAAGTCCTTTTCTGCGAAGTCAAGTCGTACTCTAAATCCTTTGAGTTGTGATTGTGGGCGGCATATTGATTGTAGTTGGCCATTCTTTCTCGAGTGTAGTAGGGTCGTTTTGTCTTTGGATGTTCGTCCTTGGTGTTGTATTCTGATCTATGTATTGCATAATGTAATTTACATTTTATAAAACTTTTATTAGTTTAATATTTTTTAATTATGATTTTAGTTAGTTGTTTTCACAAAAGCTTTTTGTTTTAGTTCAGTTATTTTGAAGAGTTACTCACCCTTGAGTAGCTCTTATTAAAAATAGGAGTGTGGTCACAAAGCGTGGATGTAGCACGGTGGGTTAGGCCGGCTATAGAGCATGCTCAGGACGTCCTTCCTGGTGGGTTAGGCCAGGAGTGGGAGTATGATTGCATGCGGTTTTTGTGAGAGGTCCTGTTATGTGACAACGTTTTATGTTGGGTTTGTTGTGGTTTTTCTTATGTTTTGTTGGTTGTGTCCTTTTTTCAAAAATCAAATTGTTTGTGGTATGGGTTTGTCTTTCGACTTTTTTGTGTTTTATTATTTCTTTCTTAGACTTTATAATAGTCTTCAAAAGAATAAATTATCCAGTTTTAAACTGGGTTAATCCGGTTTGGGTACCGTTGGTTTCCTTTTCTTAGTCATGCTGTTATGCTATGTGTTGTGGTGTTTAGTAAGCTGCATTGGTTAGTTTTGTTTAGTATATAATTCCTTTCCAACCGGGTTAAAGTAAAGTTTGAAACATGTTATCTTGTGTTAGAGTTATCGAGTGTGAAAGCTTGGAACTGAAATTCATTACTTTAAACAATTCTTCGTGGGCGAGCTGTGCGAGTTTGGATAGAATTTTTATGCGAGTGAATGAAAATATCAAAAGGTTAGTACTGCTTTTGCTTCTTATGAATTTACTACATAGAATTTTAATTTTACTGCTAGTTGTTGGGGGAAATTAAGTTACAAATTTTCATCATTATTAGATTTACTGCTGGTGGGGGAAAAATTTATAAATTAATTTACTGCATTGGTATTATATTTATTTAATTGTTGGTGCAAAAATTTAATAGGGTCTTAAACAGTTTTGAAGAAGTTTGCTATTTTTTATTTTTCTTTTGTGAATTTTTCAGATGATCTAGGATGAAGGCTAAAATTCTAAAGAAAACATGGATAAAGAATGGTGAGTTTCTAATGTTTGAATTAATTAGTAATATGTATAATTCATACTTACCTGTTAGTCGTCGGGGACGAAACCGTGGGGGAAAATGTCGTGGATGAGATCTGAAGTTGTTAGTAGTTTGGCTAATATGCGGATGATATTTTTAGTTTGAAGCAGTGGCCAAAGCAATTGAAGTGCCTTAATGGTGGTTAGTTCTTCAGTGCCAACTGCAAATTCATAAGGTGTGTTTTGGATTAGATTATATAATTTGTGGTTGAATTTAGTGTTATGGATGAATTCTAAAATGGGGATTTCTATAGGTTGTACAAACTCGTGTGGGATGAGGAAGGGTCGGGATTCTTCTGCGTTGAAGGTCTTGGTGATGGGACAAAAGATATACATTTGGGTTATGGGATCATAATTTCGAAGAATGCCATGAAGGTTAGTATCTTTAATGCAATATGTGAAGTTAAGAAAGAATGGTGAGGTGTATTTGGAATTGATGAATTGAAAACGATGGTGTGGTTGTCTGGAGGGAGTGTGTAGGTCAAAGTGATTTTGGATGAAACGATAATAAGTATATGTGTGTGTTTGTTTAGTGCGCAACATAATATCGTGTGAGCAGTGCAAATCTCTTTCATGTGGTGCAAGGAAACGAAAGGTTAGTGAAAATATTTGGAAGCGTTCTTTAAAACTTTCGTAGGCTTGCGTGTCTGTTAGTGCTTCTGAGATAATGTGGTCAAACTTGCGATCGAAGATATTTAGTGTAAATACATATGGTGTTTTAATGAAAAATTTCTCGGTGATTTGTGGGTTAGCGAAGCGATCGTCGTCTAAGAATTGATCTTGGTTAGTTCTGATGATGTTATGATCGTAATATTCTAGTGTATATTCATTAGCTCGGGGTGCAGTGTGTGTTTTTAGTGATTTTTTGTATCCAATGTAAGTAAATTGTCTAGGTGTTAGTGGTGTAGTGAGTCGATATAGCATGTCCTTATTTCGTTCTATATCGATATGAGTGTTAGATAAAGGTAAGCAAAGGGGATTTGTAAAATGATAATATGAGGTCCAAGGAAGGGTAGGCATTAAAACGTATTCGTCTACAAAGTTACGTGTCTCGTTAGTGTCATGAGGGGTGTTTAAGGTGTATTGTGGAAATGAGGGTAAGGTGATAGCTAAAAATTCTTTTGTGTTAGTGTGTTGTGGATGGTTGATATATTCACGGGCTGTTCCTGGTTTCGCTGGGAAAGGATGGTTGGGGAACTTCCTTTTAAAAGTGCGGTAAGCTCTATTAGTGCTGATAGAAGATACAGTAGTTGTGGATGATGGTGCTAATGAATCAGTATAAATTGAAGAGGGTGTAGGGGTAGGAGGATTGGATGAATCTATTGTGGATGAGATTTGGTTTATGGTTGGGGTGTCAAGGTGATAGGATTGTTGTTGTAGGGTAATGAAATTATCTAGTTCTGGGGAGATTCGGGGGGTGTCTGAAGAATGAGATGATTGGTTTGAGTGAAGTGAGGAGTAGGTTGGAGTGACTTGGGAAGCATAAGAGGGTGTAGAATTGGTTGGGTCAGGGTTATTTGGTAGTATGGGTTGAAAAGGGGGTTGGGAAAAATTTAAGGGATTGGTGTGAAAATTATTTGATGGAGATGGTTCAGAGTCGGCAAATTCATCGGGGGTTTCAATATTCGGGTTATTGAGTTGTGAGATGGAGTATAAAACTGAGATGTGTGAATTAGTATCGGAATTCATGCCGGATGTTACATTACTGGATGGGAAATCGGGTGGCGGAAAAGCAAAAAGTGGTATTATTGGGATGGAGTGGTGAGGTTGGTTGGGTGGGAATTTGATCGGTGTAGGGATCCAAGTTGTCGGCTCATCGTGGGCTAAAAAAATTATTATTTTGAGACTGAAAAGCGGTGGTATGGGGTTGTTCTATAATTTGTTCATAAGTATTTTCATCTTGTGAGTGGTGTGGCATTATATGTTGGATGGGACTTTGTGATATGGTTGGTCTAAAATTATTATGTGTTATGGCTAAATTTCGAAAATTACGTGGGACTAGGGATAATGGATGGTTATGTAGTAGGGGTGGTAACTGTGGTGCTGTTGGTGTTGTGTCTGCATTGTTATGTTCTTCGTCGTATGTGTTCTGTCTTGTTGCTATTTTTGTGTTATATTCTTTTATTTGTGCGTCTAAAAGAATTTTGTTTATAGATGTAGAAAATATTCCAAAAAATCCTGCAAATAGTATGCGTGCTACACTTGCTTGTCTTTTGACTTGTGTGTGTATAGCACATGTGTTATAGATTCCTTTTAAGAGTGAAAAAAGAAATCCAATAAAGTTAAACATTGCGTATAAAATAGTTAGTTTTTCTAAGATGTAGTAGGGCCATCCTAGAAAATCAAGAATTTCATTCTTGAGCGTAACAAAGCTAAAAATATTGATAGGTGATATATCTTGGGGACGGTATTTTTCACCGTTTAGATATATATAATCTTTAATGTCTTTAAAATATCCGCTATAGTCTTGCGTATAGATGTCTGCAAATCCTGAGGTTTCGGCAAGTTTGCGTAAGTTTTGGTCAATTGATTGTCTTTGTATTGTGTCCATTTGTGTTAATAATTCCTGGAATTGTTGTGTTCTAATGTGATGTTGAATATCTGATTTTGAGTATATTCCTATTGATTGTAAATCTATATTTGGGTTTCGAGCGATAGCGCGAATGCTTTCTGGTGAAAATTTTTTGAGTGATTGCATTAATGTGGGATATGGGGTGAGAAGGTAATATTTATCTTCATCAGGGTTTAGTTGTACTACGTTGTGGCTATTTTCTGATCCACATGGAACTGC